TATATTACATATTTATATAATTAATTTAAAAAAAAAATTTCTTAAAAATATTAATTATTTATAAAAGTAAATCAGAAAAGAATTTATAGTAAATAAGCAGGCAAATTTGCCTGCAAAACCCTACAGTCTAAGGGATAATAATAATATTTTAATATTTTAATTATTTATATTAAATTAATTATATTATAAAATAATCAATTATAATATTATAAATTATTATAAAATATTAATTATAATATTGTGTTTATTACTATTGTAATTATACATGAAGTTGAAATGAAAACCCAAAAGTCAAAATGAAAAGTCAAAATGGTCGAAATTACGTCATATTACATGATTTTTATATATAGAAAAATAAAAAAAAATAAAAGATGTATGATCTCAGTCAATATCGCTCTGATCTGAATGAAACAACTACCATTCGATTTCCTGTGACTAGACGAATCCAATGGGCTAACATTCATTAATTTTGGATTAGCCTATCTTGAGATATTTGCAATCTTATTTCGAAATCCAGACTCCTTTATTGAAAGTAGAATTTATTGATTTATAATTTCAGCCGATAATACAATTGCGATTATCTCGAGAATGGATAATCCGAAATCAATGAATGTTAGCTCATTGGATTCATCTAGTCACAGAAAATCAAATGGAGGTAGTTGTTTCATTTGAATCAGAGCGATATTGATTGAGATCGTACATCTTTTGTTTTTTTTTCTATATATAAAAAATTATATGATATGATGTCATTTTGACCATTTTGACTTTTACCTCCAATAGTCGAAATGATTTCAACCATTTCGACCATTTCAGATGTTCGAAATGATCTATTTCGACTTTATGTATAATTGTAATTATTGCAAATTTTTAATCTTTAAATTTGCAATATATGTGATATTTCGAATTATAACATATTTTTCAATTAATAATTATATGTATACTATCTTTAACTTTAGCTTTAATTTTGATATTAATAATACCATTTATTTTAATTCCAACTTTAATATTAGTATTTTCATTAGCTTTATTGATGGATTAATGTTGCTGAATGAAATATAAACTCTAAATGATAAAGGTAAAACTTGGTTAAATTATATTTAATCCTTATTAAAAAATCTTTGAAATTTGAAAAAAAGGTAAAACTATATCAAAGCTTATAAAAATGGTGAAATCTTAGTAAAATTTAGCAAAACTAAAGGTTTATTAATTCTAATATTACTAAAATTTCAATTTTATAAATATTTAAACAATAATTTTAATTAAAAAATATTACTATAATCTATATAAATTATAATAGTAAATTAAGATATACTGTATATATATTTTATGAAATTATAAAATTACATTTTTCTTTTTTTAGACTTACAGATGATTCAATTTTCATTTAAGAAAAGATGATTTTATTTATCATTTTATTGGTTTTAAAACTTTTGTTTTTGTTAAAGGCGTTATTAATCTTATCTAAAATTAGTTGTCGATGATTAAGCATTACTATAGATTAACTACCTTTCTTTGGGCGAATTTTATAATTTAAAGTTATATATTACTATATAAGGAAGGTCAAAGGGAGAGAAAGCTAACTATATAATATGTACTTTTATTAAAAACTCGATCATTTATAATTCTCGCTTTTTTTTTTAAAAAAAACAAAAAAAAAAAATTCCAAGATGATTTTCAAATCTCGTTTTCCTGATATTGAAATTCCAAAAGTTGGTTTATCAATATATTACTAGTAATCCTAGTGGAATAGATGATGAGAAACTCATTTTTGTTGATGTTAAAACGGACAAAAAATTATCATTCGGTGAATTTAAAAGAGATACAAAGAGATTTGCGGCAGGTTTAATTAATAAAACGTGGAGATGTTTTGGCCATATTCTCTTTTAATCACGTAAGGATTATTCTTGTCGCAATAAATAAACATGATAGAGCATCATTGCTAAAAGTTTGATACTTTATTTTTAGCTTGATTATTCGACCGTAGCCATTGGTGCAATTGCTGCTGGTATAGATATTATCCGGGGGGGGGGGGGGTTTCGCTCCACCGATGAATTCAAATAAAACGAACTTCTTTTTTTTTTGATTAGGAGGAAAAGTCACTCCAATTAATCCATCATATACGGTTAATGAATTAACTTATCAGTTAAAAGATTCTGACGCATCCGTTATTATTGTTAATCCTTTATTACTCTCAATCGCGATTAAAGCAGCAAATATTCCAAAATCCAAAATATTTTTGTTCGGTGAAGAAGAAATTAACGGAATTCAACCTTTTTGGTCTTTCATCTCTAATCAAGAAATCAATCCAATTGAATATACACCAGAAGAAGCAAAGTCAACTACTGCTTACTTATGTTATAGTTCTGGTACTACAGGAAAGAATAAAGGAGTTGAAACTACTCATACTAATATTGTATCAAATTTAGCTCAAATATCCACTTTCGAAAAAGGATTCACTCATCAGACCTCTCTCAGCGGATTTCTCGTAAATAAGCTTCATTTTTTTTTTTTTTTTTTTACTGATATTTATAAATTTAACGCTTTAAATTTTTAGCCTTTCTTTCATATGTACGGGTTGACCTTTCTTATACACCTTGTTATTCTTAAGGTATCTTAAAGTTTCGAATAGTTACAATCCTGATACAAAATCATTTATATTCACACGTATGTTTTATATAAAGGGAGCTTTGTGCGTTATTCTTCCTAAATTCGAATTAGAGCTATTTTGTCGAGTAATTCAAGATTATAAAGTAAATTTAGCTACGGTTGTTCCTCCTGTTGTTTTGCTCTTGGTTAAAAATCCCATTGCAAAGAAATATGATTTATCAAGTTTAAAATTGGCTATATCCGCTGCCGCCCCTTTAAGCAAAGAATTAAGCGATAATTTACTAGAATTCATAAAATTCCAATCAAACAAGCTTACGGTACGTTGTTAAATAAGATTTTTTTTTTTATGATAGATATTTTGCTTAATTTGGTTTGCTTTTCTTTCTAGGATTAACTGAGACATCTCCACTTACCCATATCGCAGAGACTAATAACATTATCAATGGTAAAGCGATGAATTGTCATGAGATTAATTTGTAACTTATTGAACGCGTAAAAGTTTTTTTTTTCCATAGGTTCGATCGGAATTCTCATTCCAAATGTGGAATGTAAAATAGTTTCAGAGGATGGTCAAGGTAATCAATTAAAAAAAAAAAAAAACTTTTTCAATTAAAAATTAAAAAATAAAATAAACAATTTATTAAGAGCTCGGATTTAATGAACCCGGCGAATTTTATATTCGTGGACCAAATGTTATGAAGGTGATTTATAACTTATTCATTGTACTGTATATATTAAATAATTAAAATAATCAATTTGTTTATTTAATAGGGTTATCTTAATAATAAAGTAGATACGGACATGTGTATTGATAGTCATGGTTGGTTTCATACCGGAGATATAGGATTCGCTGACCCTCAAGGTACATGTAATTAATTTATTCATTTACATATTTCGCTTATTGTAAAAGACTAAATATTAAATGTTCATCTCACAGGAAATTTTTTCATTATCGATCGCGTTAAAGAATTAATTAAATACAAGGTAACAAAATAAAATATTCAATTTAAAGACTTTTTATCATATCATAAATAAATTAACTTATATTTATATACTTTGATATAGGGATTTCAAGTAGCACCAGCTGAACTTGAATCGATTTTGATCCTTCATCCGTCAATTGATGATGCTGCTGCCATTGGTGTATATTCCAACGACGGTGTAACAGAATACCCGGCAGCATTTGTAGTATTAAAAACAAATATAATTCAATCCGATCAGATAAAAGAAGGGATTAAAGAATTTGTTTCTCAAAGAGTTGCTGATCATAAAAAGTTACGTGGTGGTGTTTATTTTATTGATCAAATCCCTAAAAGTCCATCTGGTAAAATTTTGAGAAGGCTGTTAAGAGATAGAATTAAACATATGCGTACTTCAAAATTATAAATTAAAGTAAATAAAAGTGTTAAAAAAAAAATAATATAATGATAAATGGTAAAAAAGGTCTTATTAAATTTTCATTTTATTAACGCATTTTTTTTAAAAAGATTCAGATATAGTAAAAGAAATCATAATTTAAATAATTTCATTTATGTTATAATATACAAAGCTAAGAATATTTTAAACCTTTAAACAAGTGATGGCATTAGTAATTAAACCCTTTGATAGTTCCAGTTAATTCCAATCCTTTCTCCAATGTAATTATATGTCCTTCATTACCACTATTCTTATCGCGTAACACTGATTCACATAATGAATTTGCTTGGACGGGTTTTACATCATCACTAATTGTGCCAACTGTAACGTGTGGACATTTATTCGAATAAGGAACATTTTCTGGATCAAATCTATCGACGGCAAGAGCCATAATTTGAGCATTGGCAATTATCTTGCTAATATATATTTTCACTTGTTGACCACACATTGCTATACATTTCTTCCAAAGCTCACTATTTCCTTTTTTTAATTCCTTGCGATTAATGAGTGTAACATGAAATGTAGATTTAATACGATCCCTTTGGACCAATTCCTTAAAGATTCCAGGATCTTTTTGCGAATGTTCTTTAAAATACTCTGTAAGAAAATTTCGAATATTAAAGTCTAAAGCAATCCCAACGTAAGCACAATTAGCTGATTGAGATGATTGACGTTTACGGATTGATGGCTTGTAATTTTTTATTTCATCTATAGCATTATTAATCGCATCTTCACCAGGTTTTTCAATTCCAATGATGCCTTGTAATCTATCGATTACAATCTCAAGATTGGTTTTAATATCATTGGCAATATCTAAATCGATTACATCATCAAACTGGTCGTCCACATTATTATTTGAATCCAAAGGTTCAAAATCTTCCAAGAACCTCCATATTACCTTCTCATAATCTGAATCGCTTGGAGTGAGAGATTGATGATTTTCTCCCCGAGCAACTATACGCTTAGATGTGATTTGAAAAATCTCGTCATCTGGCCGATCATGATTCCAGTAAATAGCCACAATACGAACTTTTGGCCAAATTTCTTTCACAGCTTCTATTAAAGTTCTACGTAAGTACTTAAGATGATTGTTTCTGAAAAATGAAGTAATTCATTAGAAGATGGTTCAATAAAGAAAACTTAAAATAGGTACATTGCCTTTTTTTACCTGTCCGCAATTACAACATCGCGAGTCTTGAATGATTCATTAATGATTTTATGAAATTCGAGACGTGGTTTCTTCATAACAATGTTATCATTTTGTATATGCACAAAGGAAAACAGTTTAGCTAGCATAAAAGCGAGTACCGTTTTTCCTGCAGTAACTGATAAATTTAGTTGTCAATTTATAACCGAAACCAATCATTATGATAAACGCCTACCACATCCGATTGTTCCAATTGGAACCAACAAGGTTTTGTGGTATTGTTGATTATCTTCTATTGGAATTCCTTCGATACCACCTCTATTCTTCCAATATTCCAAGAACATATCCCTAACGCGGAAAATTCCATGATTATGTTGATAACCCTTGAAAAGTTCTGGCTGTTTTTTAATTTTTTCCCTAACCCATTCAAGGTAATGTCTACTCAATTTATAAGTGGTTTTTGGGTTTTTCTTATTCAATAGTGCTTTAGTAATTTCTCTCCATTCACGATACATAAGATACGGTTCATCATATTTAACTTTAAAGAAAAAATCTTGTTCAGATGAAATAGTTTTTGTTCTGACAACGAATCCTTCGATTGGTATACCGTCTTCCAATGATCCATCTTGTCTGATGTCATTAATAAAGCTTTTAACTTCGGTTATAGATGGTTTAACATAATAATGAATTGGAAGAAACCCCCATTCTTTTGCGAAATTTGCAACCATTTCACTTGGCCATGTTTTGAGGTTGACCGTATTTAAATTCATTCCATGAAGGTATAATCCACGACGATCTGGTGTATTATATGGTAACACGTGTTCTTCAAACTGGTCATCGCATAACTAAATGGATCGAACGTCGGTAAATTAAATACACGAATAAAAATGATCATCGATAAAAAAATCGCGTCAAATAAAGGACGTAAATCTTTTTACCTCTGCTACCGCAGTTAATCTATTTTCATACAAAAAACTTGCCAAAGCTTGTTTAGTTTTACCCGCTTTTTCCAAATGTTCATCAAGCCATTTTTCACCTACAATGGCATGAGCTACGGCATCTTCTCGTACACCCATTGAATGTTTACTTGTAACAAGAATATGATCACCTGGAAGTCCACCAATGAATATGATACATCCATTCTCTTTGACTGTAATCTCGTAAGGTCCAACAGTATTCATTTCAATATGTTCCCACTAGATATTAATTTGAATATTTCAACTAATCTTGATCAGGATTATACATATGGCAAATGAAAAAAAAGCAAGTATACCGTAGTTTCAGGCATTTCGCCAACGTTAAAGAATTTATCGTAACCACGGATAATTATCTCATGTCGATTTTCCACCTGTCTTGTAAATAACCCTCTAATTTTTGTGGGAGTTCGACCTTTTTTGTAGTCCCATTCATTCATTTTCCACGAAGAAACCGCGATCCCAGAGAGTTGGTGAACATAGTCATTTTTCTTAACTGATCTTTTAGTCCCTTTACCCCTAGTTTTGTCTTGAATAGAAAGTTTAGTAACTAATTCGTCAACTTCTTGAAGATCTTGTTCAGTGACTTTCATTTTTAATATCGGGTCTATATATTAAAGGTTTTTTTTTTATAAATACTTTTTTGCCTGGCTGTGAATCCGCAGAATCCGCAGGAATATGACTCGCAGTAAATGAATGACATGTGATTGATTTAATTAAAAAAAGATGTGCGCCCTTTCAATTCTTCGTGAAGATTTTTTATATTGCCATTATGAGTGACAAACTTACAAGGATTGCCATTGTTAGTTCGGATAAATGTAAACCGAAAAAATGCAGGCAGGAATGTAAAAAATCATGTCCTGTCGTTAGAATGGGTAGGCATTTTGACACTCGATCTACGTTATTTTTCGAGCATTAGGTTCAATGAACTAAAATTTCAAGTTATAACGCAAATATCTACTCGCAGGCAAGCTTTGCATTGAGGTGTCTCCAGATAGCAAAATTGCTTTTATTTCTGAGGAATTATGCATCGGTTGTGGTATTTGCCCCAAGAAATGTCCATTCGGTGCTATTATGATTATAAATCTTCCCACAAATCTCGAAAAAGAGGTCACTCATCGTTATTCTGCAAACTCTTTTAAGCTTCATCGATTGCCTGTTCCTAGGCCTGGACAAGTTCTAGGATTGGTTGGTACTAACGGTATTGGTAAAAGTACAGCACTTAAAATTTTGGCCGGTAAATTGAAACCTAATCTAGGAAAGTTTGAAGTAAGTATGCTTTATGACACGTTTTCGCGTTTAGCATCGGATTGATCAGTTAAATTCTTATTTATCTTAAAGGATCCTCCGGATTGGCAAGATATTTTAAAATATTTTCGCGGATCAGAATTGCAAAATTATTTCACAAAAATCTTGGAAGATAATTTGAAGGTAATGATTTTAATTCATTAGTTATTTTTATATTGATCCAACTTCGTGTGAGTATAAATTAGATTGTCTCATTTTGAAATCAGGCAATTATCAAACCCCAATATGTAGATCATATTCCAAAAGCTGTCAAAGGGACAGTTACTGCTTTGATTGATGCTAAATTGGAAAGAGATAATAAGAAAGATATGATAAGTGCTTTAGATCTACAAGATGTATTGAACCGTCAAGTAATTGATCTATCTGGTGGAGAGCTACAGCGTTTTGCAATTGCTGTTGTGTGCATTCAAAAGGCAGACATGTAAGTTTTATCATCTGCTTTATACGAATTTAGGGTAATTAATAACTCATTACCTTGATTTAGTTACATGTTCGATGAACCATCATCGTATTTGGATGTCAAACAACGATTGAATGCCGCTAGGACGATAAGAAGATTATTAAGCCCGGGCAGGTATTTTATTATTATTATTATTATTATTTTACAATTTAAGTCGTTCCAACCTAACTTAATTTTTCATTTTAAGTTATGTTATTGTTGTAGAGCATGATTTATCGGTTTTGGATTATCTTTCCGATTTCATTTGCGTGCTATATGGTATGCCCTCAGTATATGGAGTTGTTACTATGCCTTTCTCAGTTCGTGAAGGCATTAATATATTCTTGGATGGTAAGGTGCCAACAGAGAATTTGAGATTCCGTGAAGAATCTCTAACATTTAAACTAGCAGAAACTGCTGAGGATGAAAAGGAAGTAGAAAAGCATAGAATATATAAATATCCTGATATGACAAAAACTTTGGGTAAGGTATTTTATAAAGTAACGTTAACTAGTTTAGATTTTTACTGATTATAGCTATTACATGAACAATAGGTGATTTTCATTTGACCGTTAAATCTGGCGGATTTACGGATTCTGAAATTATTGTTATGCTTGGGGAAAATGGAACCGGTAAAACTACATTTATCAAGCTATTGGCTGGTGGAATCAAAGCCGATGGTGATGAACAAGTACCTGAATTGAATGTTAGTTATAAACCACAAAAGATCTCACCAAAGTACCCAGGAACTGTGCGCAGTCTATTCATTAAAAAGATCAAAAATATGTTCATGCATCAACAATTTCAAACCGATGTTGTGAAGCCCATGCAAATTGAGAATATTATTGATCAAGAAGTCGCAAGTTTATCTGGTGGTGAACTTCAACGTGTGGCAATTGTGCTGGCGTTAGGTCAACCGGCAGACATTTATTTGATAGATGAACCTTCTGCATATTTGGATTCTGAACAACGTGTTGTTGCGGCTAAAGTCATCAAAAGGTAGATAGATATATGCTTAAAGTCACATTAATTAAAACGTTTTTATTGATTATTATTATTTATTTTTAGGTTCATTCTTCACAACAAGAAAACAGCTTTTGTTGTAGAGCATGATTTCATTATGGCTACTTATTTGGCAGATCGTGTTGTTGTATATGAAGGATCACCATCTGTAAAAGCTACTGCTAATACGTAAGTTAGAGAACTGGGCACTTTTCGCAATAAGTGATCATTTACAAACACATTTCATTAATTAAATTAATTTATTTATTTATTTTTAGCCCACAATCCCTACTCTCGGGTATGAATAAGTTCCTTGGATCTCTCGAGATTACATTTAGACGAGATCCAACTAATTTTAGGCCAAGAATAAATAAAGCGGATTCTATGAAAGATAAAGAACAAAAATCAAGTAAGTGTAATCAATTATATTACGTATATTGGATTTATTGGATGGATTTAATTTGATTTGATTTTTTTTAAATTATTAGGTGGCAATTATTTCTTTTTGGAAAATGAAGCTTAAAAATTTATAATAATATAGTTTGAAATTTAATTGGTAAAAAGTTCTTTTTATAAAAAAAAAAAAAAAAAATAATTAAAATAATTTTTGTGATGAAATTCTAAAAAAAAAAAAAAAAAAAAAAATGGTAAAAATTTAAAAGCGGAGAAATTTGTTATGCTATTATTTTTTTTATTATAATATTTATAATATAGATTTTTTTATTAAAAAATAAAGTAAACGAATACGTTACATAATGTTTTGTTTTTTGTTAATTGAAGTTTATGATTTATCCTAAAGAAATTGCAGATAAAGATTGTTTGTAAGATCGAAATTTAAAATTTCCCTGAGACAAGATTGAATTTTGTAATATATTGCAAATACTATTTATATTGATAAATTTCTGAATTATATAACTTTGGTGGGTTTGAGCGCGGCCTGAATGGTTTTAAGTTTATTAAAATTTTAAAGCCAAAGGTATAAATTTTTTTTCTAAAATCAGAGTTCGGTATTTGTATGCCAGCGAATTCGCACTTCATCAATATCGTTAAATTTCATTATCGACTACATCTAATAGATTCTAGGCTAATTAATCTGTTTGTTTTTATCATGTTGTTCTTAAACACTTGAGCTCGACTAAGATGAACGTTTTGAGCATTTATTTTTTTGTTTAGTCAAGAATGAGATATCAAGCTGATTATGATTAATTCTTGAATAATTGAATGACGAAAACATTAAGAATTTGTTCATGACACGCGATTTTCTTTTTTTTTAAAAAAAATCAGTTACATCGATTCGAGAACCAAGTTAATGTAATTAATTCCGTGCAACCAAGTACATTTAGAATTAAAATCAGGAATATAAAAATTACTGTATTTGTATTTATAAATTTTCTCACTTTCCGCAGTAAATAAACGTAAATAGCAAATCCTACCAAAAGCGAAGTGCCGTCCATGTATATGTCAGTTTTTTTTCAACCTTCAAATAATATACTACGCCCCACGACAGAGGTCAGTTCTTCCATAGTTCATTTAAATCTTTATTTATGCCTTGTTTTTGATTGTTTTACTTTGAGGCCGAACCATTTACCATCGATTATGTTCACTATGTTTACATTTCTTTTTTTTTTTAAATACAATTCGCACACATTCGAATTAGCAAACTAATGAAAGTCACATGTCAATTCTAGGTTTAGTGAATCGGAGTAAACTAAGAACACATGACTGTATTTTGACAATGCTAGTATGACTATAACTTCAATGAAATCTAAAAGGACTAATTTTATGAATAAGGAAGAGATACGATAAAGAAAACTAAAATCCTATACAAAAAAAAGAAATATGCGGTCCGCCTCTTTCCTCATTTACATGGTTTGAATTTGTGCTAAGGGTGCCTGCCTAAAACAATTTTGGGAGTTTTCGATAATAAAACTATTTGTTTATAATAAATATCTTTACCTAATTTCTAGTAGGTTTTTCTAAACTCAATGAAGTTAATCAGATTTAAGGAATAATCATTTAAAGGTTTCCTACATGTTAAAACAGGTTTCATTAAATTTGAGCTTCTTCAAATTCTCTGCATAAAACCATGTTTAATAAACATGTGAATTCAATACATCATGGTTCGCGTTTAATATAATGCATTCGGAATCGGTCAAATATGAACCGGATCAGCGGGAAATTTTCTTATTTGTATAATGATTTATAATAACTTGGTAAATCAAATTGATATTGTTGACTAATGTGATTTGCATCAATTAATCACATGAAAAATTATAAATATAAGATCGATTTTTTATAATCCCAACTTTTAATGGAACAAATTATTTTACATCATTATCCAGGTATTATATATAATTATTTTGAATTCGTATAATTCGTTTGGATGACTTTTTATTTATTTATTTTCTTGTTAATTTTTTTTAGGTTCGGTGTATTCCCAAAAGATTGTTTGGGCATTGGCCATAAAGAAATTACAATGGACTTCAGTCATTGTACCTCAAATCCTTCCAAGACCGTAAAATTATTTTTTTTTTAAAAAAAAAAATATATTCTTCGTTCTAGTATTTTCTTTCTTAACGACTATCGTTTGAATTGCATAGATTGTTGCAACCGTTAACTCATGGGTACAGACGTATTCCAGTTCTTCAAATTGGATCAGATATTTTTGTTGATTCTGCATCGATTATTGAAGAATTAGAACGAAGGTTAATAAAAATGGGTTATCAACGATTATAACGATTGTTTAAGTTACCATTTTTTTTTATTATTATAGATATCCGGAACCAACCCTTTTCCCAAAAAGAAATGGATCCGATAAAAGTGACAGGGGATTGGGCTTATCCATGGCCATGTGGACAGATGTAAAAAAATTACTTTTTCATGATTACTTTTGTTAATTCTATTTGCTAATTTCGCCTGTATTATAAACATATTTTAGCGTTACTTTATACCTGCCATTCTGGGGGTAATTCCATTCTTTTCGAAAGATCCATCAACGCCAAAAATTTTCACTTCAAAAGAATTCAAAGATGATCGAGCTTCGTTATTTGGAATACCAATTAATACCGAGAAACTTTTACAAACACGACCATATTTCGTTGATCAAATTAAATCCAACTTTGAATGGGTCGAGTTACAATTTTCGGATGATGATAGGGAATGGTTCTTAGATACGCCGTACCCAAGCATATCAGATATTCATGTTGCAAGCAATATCTGGTTTTTAGATGTTACTCAAGGTGCAAAAGAGATTTCATATCCTAATTTATATCCGAAAACTTATTCTTGGTTCAATAGATTTTTAAAATATGTTAAATCAAGCGGAATCAAACCGAATAAGATTAGCGGTGAAGAAGCATTAGAGATTGCTAAAAAGTATAAACCTTTAAATGGTGGGGAAAGAAAAGTTGAACAAGATCAAAAAGATGCTACAAGAAAATTGGGGGATAATGTTATCATTCAACCTGATGACTATGGTAAAGTTCCCGTTAAAGGTAAGATTGTTAGTTTAGGCGATAGGATTATTGGGATTAGACCTCATGACGTTGATAAAACTGGGTTTGAGGTTGTGATTTGGTTTCCAAGGGCCGGTTATAGAATTAAACCCGATAATGGGAAGTTGTGATTGATTTTATTATGCACTAGCTCTTTTAAGAGAAATCAAAAACACGTCTTCATTTATTTATGATCGCGTCAAATATTTATAAAAAAAATAAAATACGACATGGCATCATTAAGTTAATGTTTTAAAAAATAATAATAATTAAACACCCGATTATTTAATCATGTGTGTAAATGTTGATGAAATAAATATATATCGTGTAGGTTTCTTTAATCCTTCGATATTTTTATATTATATATATTGTACAATATTTGTATTGTATTATATATGTGTATATATATATATTGTTTATTTTATTTTATTTTTTTGGGGGAACCGAATTATTAATTAAACAATCTCAACAATCGCTAATGCTGTAGCTTAAAAACAAATATAACTAAATCTGCACCCACGCAAAAAAAATAATCCGTAATTAAAAATAAATGCAATGAGTTTGTTAATTCATGTTCGTTTTACCAAATTATTTTTCAGGAAAATAATTCCATGTTACAATTCACTTGATTTTTCATGCATATTATAAGAACGTTTTTTGTTTATCATGATACAAAAAAATTTATTTGGTTAGAATAAAAGTAAAACTTTATTATAACGCGTTCAAATTTTACCACGATCCCTAAAGATTTTTCCCCATTGATTGGGTTTTTTTTATTAAGCCAGAAATAGAGTTCGGCAGGAACAGAAGGCGTTTTTTTTTTTTTTTTTTTTTTTATGTTGGTAAAATAGAATAATATTATCATAATTGCCTAAATAAGTTTAATATTTTCGTGTAATAACAATAACATCCAGGAAATATTCGTGATGATGCCAATTTCCTTTGTTGGGTTCGTTTTATTTTGATTGACATTCAACCTTGTTTTTTTTTCCTTGTGATGTTCTTCTTCCTTTCTGTCATTCTATTGTTTGGGCTTTACCTATGAATTGCTATTTTAAGTGATCTCTTTTGTCTTTCCTTATTGTTCCTTTTCTCTTTTTCTTTGTTTACTCTGTGATCCATGTATGTGAAGTTACTTCATTGATTTGTATACATGTGCATATTATTAATTGTCCCGCGATTCCCAATTACAGTCATTTAAAAAAAAGAAAAGGATGAAAAAAAAAAAAAAAAAAGAATGGGCGAGAGAAAGTTGAAACACGAACCTTATTTATTTTTTTTTTTTTTTAAAAAAAAAAGCGGTAGGACCGGGATCATTTCAAGTAAGATCAAAAGTAGATCCTTGTTTACCTTAACTTTTCAGAATTGAATTTTAGTTTTTTTTTTTAGTTTTTTTTTCTAAATATAAAATTCGGTCAGACATATGAGACAAAAATAAAAAAGTGGTTTTTTTTTTTTTTTTTTGCTTGGTCCCCCAAAAATAATCGTTTTTGTAAACGTAAAATGCGTTATGATGACCATCAAACATATCTTTAAATTCTAAAGTAATTGATTTACAGTATAAAGGATCTATGATGAAACATTCCGGTTTATTGGTCTAGAAGGGAATTCAATAGAATTTGTCATATGACGATCCCACTCCCATTTTTGAAACGATCGAAAAAAAGAAAAAAAAGAGAAGGAAGAAATGAAGAATGAAATAAGGATAATAAGATTTTTTTTTAAAAAAAAAAAAAAAAAAAAAGAGATGATGATGATTATTATTATTATTATTATTATTGTTATATTATATTTTATTATGATATTATTATGTTTCCTCATCTGAAAAAAAAATAAAATTTACGATTTACAAATGGAAGGCGGAAATGAAATCTTTGTGTTAATATCAACAACATTTTCATGCAGCTTAATTTAAAAATTAATTAAAACAAATTTCGTAAAATTGTTGGGAGATGAAATCAAAGTCGTCATTGTCCCAAGTTTCATTTGTGACTACTGACAAATTCTCCTATTTCCGTTACGCTACTTTTTTGATTTTTTTATGTGTCATACATCATTAACGAGTGATCTCTCAATGTTAACAGTTTAGAATCAACCTAATGAGAAAGATAAAGAGATCGATCGACATTTGGACAAAAGATTGTCGATGAAATAATAATATTGATTCTAAAAAAGGATCGAATTTGTTGATTTTGTTTCAACTTTTAATGAAAACTAGTAAGGTAGACAAAGCTAAAGTATCAAATTATCAAGTTTTATCTCTATTGTTTGTTACATCACTTTTTTAACTAGGAAAAAAGAGTAACCAAAAGGAAAATAAACCCGTTTTTTATGAATTATTATCTAATATAAACGAGTGAATGACGCAATATAAGAAATTTTTAAAATCCAATTTTACCATGTCATTGGTTGATTAAGGACTAAGGCATTCGATTCTTTTATTTTTTAGAGTTGCCCTTATTTTTTTTATTTTTTTTATTTTTTTTATTATTTTTTATTTTTTATTAACGCTCTATCACTATTATACACTATTATCTGTCATTCAGCTTCCTTTTACAATTTTTTTTTTGATTAATTAATTAAAAACAATAACCCAATTTTTACACAAATATTTACACAACAACATCCGAAACCAATCTGCATTTAATATATGCTGATGCTCATGTTTACCCAGATTTTCTTTTCCTTGGGTTTCTAAAACTAACTTAGTTACTCATCCCTGCATTATATCAATCCACCATATGGGGCGTTTCCAACGATTTTAGTGGTTAACAAAAAAAATCGTTTGGGCGCAAGTGCACGCGTTGCACGCGTTTGTCAAAAAAAAATCCATTTTGAAGTTTCAAAACCTTGATAGGAAAAATGAAGTTACCGAACGGTTCTCAGACGTATATCCATGAAGGGGGTTCCTTCTACGGATCCTTTTATTCTTCAAATTCATCGGAGCTTAGCGAAAATTTTGAAACCAAACAAATTAATAAATTCCAATTTATTATATTAAGGTGTAAGAAATTAAATGGTCCGGTTTCACAACATGGATAAGATCTCAGATTATCATATCAATTATCTTTTGTCTGATAACAAAAAAAAAACAAAACTTGTCAATGTTCATTTAACATTCATGCATGAAAAATAATCATCTTATATCTCGAAAAGGAAGGGATGTACGAAACTAATAAGATTTTTTTTTGTCAATTTACTGTGGTCTAAACATACGTAAATAAATCGGGAAGGTATCAAATTTAACCAACGCTATCCTTCCCGTCCCGGCCGATTCCATTACGAATTTTTCGAGGTATTTTTAAACTTCATTGATAGACTTTATTACATTAGTAAAGATATTCCAAATAAATCCATGATCTTCAGGGAATGATTTCTTTGCTGATATCTTTTTCATGCAAGTTGATCAAATCTTTTATCAAAAGGATTGGTCAGATGCAGGTGAAAATGGTTACATAAGGTTTCTTGTTTATTTATTGTTTGTCTCACACTTTATTTTTTTTTTTTTAATGTTGCAACATATGTTTAATTTGTCTAACAAACTAAAAGGGATTGGATTTCTAAGTGGTGACTTTTTTTTTTTTATTTATATCTTATTTTATTTTTTTTTTTGGTGTTTACATTAATTAATTAATAAAATTTTCATTAATTTATTAATACTACACAAGAAAATTCTTTGATTCTTTGTGATTAACCGTATGAGGTCGATTTTAATTTATTGATTTGTTTTTTTTTTTTTTTTTTATTTGTGTCGTTGTTTGCATTCATTAGCTCATTCGACGTTTCGCTTATCCGATTAATCATTTGATAATAATAAAAATAATAAAAATTAAAATTATAGAAAAATCGTTTCCTTAAGGAAAAAAAAAATCATGATCCCGAAAGTCTCAATTATACTTCATTATGCATTTGGCAACCAAATAAATAAGATCTGCGTAAATACTTTCCAAATGAATAAATAATAATAACAATAAAATCAGAATTTTTTTTTTTTTATATTATAGAAATTCAAACAAAACCGCACATAACAAGTAAACATTAACGCCTTTTTCTAAAATGAAAATCCTTGGGATGGACCCTTTTTTTTAATTTTTTTTTAATTTTTATCTTTTTCCTTGTTTTTCACCATCAAAGGAGACTCATTTTTTTTTTTTTTTTTTTTTTTTCCTTTTTTTTAGATTAACAGATGTTAAACCTTTTTTAATCTAGTTGAAAAAAAAAAAGTAAAACTGAAAAGATTTTTAAATGCCTTTTGAAAAAACAAAAAGTCGTGTGATGGTCCCTTTTGAATTTCGGAGAATTCCGTTTACAAACCCGTTGGAAACTTCCTAACGATTTATTTAACGCCCAAACAAGCCTGAAGGTAAATCATGTTATAAACTTGATTCCTTAAAACTCGCCGGACTTTTTTTTGCGTACGTGTAACGACAATTAAACTATAAGGATGGATGTTGACTTTTAATAATATTTAAATACAAAGAAAAGGCAATACGCGAAACATATGCTTTTCGTTGGGGATCATTCGGATTCTCACGGGTGATTGGATTCCAAAAATCGCATGACTTTCCATTGGATTCATCATTATTTATTATAGGTTATCAAAAAATAGAAATAAAATAACATAATAAAAATAAAAAAAAAACGAATGCTCGATCCCGATCGTCGTCATCGCGTCGCACGAACGCTAATGTTTGGGTCACCAATTATTAAGAAATATACGCGATTCGTTTTTTTCATTGATCCAATTACTCATGAGTAACCCAACCCAATAAATCAAGTGAAGATTGCGTAAACATAAATAATTCGCAAATAACTTTTATTCACTGTTCTCGTGTAAATATTTGAATGGATTGTCAAGCAACACCATAGATGCGCACAAAGCGTCCTGCAAACGGTTAGGAAATTTTCGGTAAGGACAAGATTTTTTGTGAACCGAATTTTGTTATTCAAACGAATGAATGGACATATAAAGGAAACAAATAATCAGGCATCCACGCATCTGGAGAATTGACCCATCATTTGAGGAAGGGCAAACCTTATTTCACGCGACTTCCATAAAAGAACGCTATGCTGCGGATAAAGAGATCCCTAAGCCACCGGATTACCGGATTGCGAGAAAAAAAAATTTTCTTTATAAAAAAAATTAAGGTTTTTTCAAGAGCGTTGAGAAAAAAAAAAGTGTGTAATCAGGCATGATCTCATGCAATGAATCGCATGTAGTAGAAGCAGCTCGTCGTCATCTTGAAATGGTTTTAGGACAAGATTGACGTTAAGCTCCACACAGGAAGTTTTATTCATAATTCACACATTTGACTTTTTCATTAGTACAATATTTACCTTATATGCACGCTGTATGTGCGTACATTCAAATTTAATCACAAGGTGTATTTCCTAATTCCCTGCATGAAATGAATCAAGTTCATTATTGCATGTTTGTTTATGCATATTAACCTTGTTTGTAATGGGTTGTGTGACGAAAATCACACATGTGATATAAATGTAACTTTTGCAAAGGTTTTAAAGAACTCACCGATGGGAAAGGGCTCATTCCCCCCCTACTCTTCTTTTTTTTCTCTTTTTTTTTTACAGTTAACAGACGATTACCCTATTAGTGCCGACGGTTACACCCATTACGAAAACCGGATTTGACAGGATAAAATGTGCACCATGATTAATATATACATCTGTCAACTTTAAAAAAACGATAATAAACATTGATAAGCAAAGGGGGATTTATAAAATCAAAAAGATGTGAATAAGTTTTTTTTTTATTTTTACAATGGATATATAAAGTTACGAATTTTTTTGACACATTGTTTAAGGTTACCCAAAACCAATAACATTACTAATAATAGCACATCGAACCAATCCCCCATTATCATTATTTAACCTTATCGTTCCTTTTTTTTTTTTGGGAAACATGCGTGATATATATAATATATATAATCTCATATATCTCCCCTAGAGAAACCGGAAAATCTCGTGGCGATTTATAACACAAATACATGCGATATTAGATGTTACGTCAAGTCCATGATGCACCCAAAAAATTATCCGATACAATCATCCCATTTATGGTTTCTATAACCGTCATTCATTCTTAGAAAGAAGTCATGGGGTCTAATGGACTAACAACAACATCACATGAAAAAGATGAAATGAGTCTAGGTTGCACCATGTGGTAACTCGGCGTTTTATGGCGCAGCTTAAATAAAATGCGTACATTTCTCATAAAAAAAAAACCAGATTTACCATACCTGCATTTTTTTTTTAAAAAAAAAAAAGAGAAATTTTCAAGAGAAAAAAATATTTTAAAGGAAAAAAAATTCCATCACAATTCTTTTTTTTCTGAGCAGCCTCGTGTTTGTGCAGGAACCGAACACAATCCACCGCAGTTATTTTTATTTAATTTTTTTTAAATTTTAAATCTTAATCGAATTAATATAATGAACAACGTGGGAGTTAATCTTAATTAAGTTTTTAATGATTTTGTTAATTTAAATTATTTTTATGAATAAAATTAGAAATATTGACGATGATCCAAGCAAAGGAATGGTCGAGATGGTACGTGTCGAATGAATATAGGAATGATCGATAGTTGGTTTTCAGAGAAGGTATTTCATTGCATCATATCAGGACACGCGTATGGCAAGGATTTTTCTTTCTTGTTTTGGACTGATAAATTGAAGATCAAAAAGGGATGCAAAGAACTAAAATATCGACAAAGGAATTCAGAAAAGATTTATTTGGACGTAGTCTATTTTTAAGTTAATCTTAATTAATGTACACATATTGTGTTTATATATAAATATATACATATACATGATATTTTTTTTTCAAACGGAAAACCTAATCTATATTATTCACGCGTGATATTGCTGATATTGCAAAAATGGGTATTTTTAATATAAAATTTTCTAAATAAATACGCGCTTAACTTATTAAAAGTCATAATTGAGAAACCTTAATTGATTAGAAATTCCTCAGATTATGCACTATTATCTTCATTGGAATCACAGATAACAAACTGATTTTATGTCACCGATTGTAAAAATTCATCTTGTGATCTGTGGCCTTTTACAGACGATGACCTTTTTGATTCTTTTTCTTTCTTTCTTTCTTTCTAAAAAAAAAAAGGTTTCAGGGTCACGCATCCATCTGATTGGTCGGATCGGTCTTGCGTGGCTCAGTAATACACACTTAAAATTTATGCATTGGTTGCATATTTGTATTCATTGGCAACACATTTCTTTTGTTCAGAATGCTGTTCTCATTGGCCTCTTTTTTTTTCATAAATAACATTTGGAAAATTTCAACTGACCGAACAATGATAAAAATAATTATTATTATGTACGCGAATGTTCTGATGACTTTTCGCGCCTTGCCAAAAAGAGAAAAACGCGCTTCGTCATCACAACCGATTTGAAATTCAATTGAAAGAAATTTGAGACTTTGTTTATTTATGGTTTAGATCAATTGAAGGTAAATCCTATCTGTAGGATCTTATCCCAATATCAGTAACAAAAAGTGAAAGAAACTATTCGTATTTGGTTAAAAGGCGGTCTTAACGTAATTTAATAAAGGAGCGAGAGAGGTTGAAACTTGATTTGCATCTAAACAAACATTTGTAACTAAAATGAATCTGAGACCTTAATATAAGATGGCGTAATTCGTCCACAGAAATGTAAGACTGACGAATTTGAAAAAAAGTGGATGCTAGAGTATTTCCCTTTTAAACCAGTTTCCTTTCTCAGGGAAAACTGTCATTTTTTAGCTTCCCAAGCATCTTGTGGGATGATTTACGCCAGATAAAAAGGAAAAGATAAAAAAAAAAAAAAACATTGAGCCTTATAAAGATATAAACTCTAGATTTCCTCTCGTTTCTTTTTTGTGAATTTTTTTTTTTTTCAATCGCGATAGAATATAAAGGAATATAAACTTGTTTTGTGTTTTTGTTTATCTGTTTATTATTAATCTTGTTAAATGTTACAACAGTACAATGTGAATCTATTGAACTTTACCATACGATTCTAACCAAACCAAGCAGGATTGATGAAATTTTGGGAAGGTTATAAAAAACTTGTTTATGCTCGTGAAAAAAAAAAATTTGCTTTTTAAATACGAGCCAATTTGAGAATTTATAAATAAATGATTTCATATAAATTATTTATTAATTTATTTAAACCATACATATTTTATCTTTGATTTTAATCTTATTTATTTACTTGAGAGGGGGGTTCCAATATTTTTTACTTTGAGATCTCGTTAAACATCATAAAAAAAAAAAAAATGCTTCCACACGATGTGCACAAAAGAATTACCTGCAACGCTCATACATCATCTTTTGGTACCACTTTTGAATCTGAAATTGAAATTATTGAAATAAAAAAAATTTTCTTTTTTGACCAAATTTAACTCTTTATTACTGATGCTCTCCGAAAACCGGCCCAAAGCTCATTATACATCATCACTCATGTATCGCAAGACGAAAAAAAAGAACAATCTCGTAACGTATTTGGTTCTCAAATGGTAAAAAAAAAAATAAAAATAAAAAAAAAGCCATTTAGTTAGGGCAAAAAACCATTACATATCTGATATGTAATCATTCACATAAATTTTATAAATAAAAAAATAAACTATTCTGCATACTATTGAAAAAAAGTAGTTGTTGGTTTAATACAATTTTTTAAACTATCTTATTATCTAATTTCATTTTGATGATGATGTTCATCATCCATCTAATTACAAAACTATTTTAAAGTAACATATAAATAACCCACTTTACTTTAAAATCATATAAAAAAATTTGGTAACAAACTCGGGGAAATTCATCCAAACATTTCTCCCTCTTTTCTTCCTTCTCAACTCTTTTTTTTTTTTTCAACATCACAACTTTTTATAAAAGCCCTTACGGAAACCGCCTTTTAAATTCCAAACACACTTGAAATAATAATAATAATAATAAATCTCAACCTTTTGCCAATTGTTCTTCTTCTTTGACCCCCCCCCCTTTTTTATTTCAATTAATTCATTTGAATAAAAAGTTAAAATAAAATAAAAATTATATTTATATATATATAAAATATTAAAAAAGAAGTTATAAAACTATATTTCACACGACTAAACAAACAACACAAACTCAAAACTATAAAAAAAAAATTTTTTTTATTGTCCCCAAAATTAATTTATAATCCCTTATTTTTATTTTTTTTTTTTTTCATTCAAATTTTTTTATTAAATAGGTTTTATTTCTTTTGGTTTTTTTTTTATTTTTTTTATTTTTATTTTTTTATTTTTTCTTTTATAATAAAACACACGCATATTTTTTTTTTTCCATTTCATATTTTTTTTTATTCCTTATCCTTACTTTTCAATAAAAAGAATTAGGAAATCGATAAATTTTTTTTAAAAAAAAAAACAAAAAAAATTTTTTCCACAAACACCGAGATATTGTATATATATAAAAATCCTCTAACGGGATGGTATCGACGTATAGTCAACCTCCTTCGTTTTCTCACAATCTGCCACCTTCGGATAACTTTGATACCACAATCACGACTATAAGTAGATTGAATCCTAATAATCTGAATTGCAACAGCAACGGTGACGGCGGAATTCAAGGGAGCTTAAACGAACAACTGCATACACAACAGAACTTTCCCGCTGGCTCACGTCACTTAACTTTCAACAGGGTTCCAAGTCAGCGTAACGGTGACTTTAGAAAGTCCTCTCAGACTTCCACCACGGCTTCAAAGACGGAATACCAGCATAACCATCAGTTATTAACGAATTGCCGTCAAAATAATTTTGGTGTCAACTCGAATTATGTTAAAAACAAAAATATGACCCGCAATACAAATAATAACAAGGTGTTAAATAATGTTAAATGGTCTGATTGTAAAAAATCAAAAGATCCAGAAAAATCAAAAAAACCCGCATTGGAAGAAATTCATAAAGTTCTTTTGGAACCTCCTCTCTTCCCAAAACCTTGCGAGAACAAGTCGAATGATGATATCAGTGATGATGATTGTGATGAATCTAAAAAGGATCCTTTGGCTGCCACGGTCTGGCGATTATATACAAAAGCAAAAGACGCCTTACCAGATGGAATTCGTGTCGAAAATATGACTTGGCGTATGATGGCTGTCACTTTAAGGCGGAAAAATCTTGAAAAAGAGCAATTGATACGACCACCATCCAACAATCGTAATTATAACAAGGTTCCCACCACAAATATTGCAACTTTCCGTTCCTCGAATTCGAAAAGGTCTTCCAAAATTTTAGGGTGTAAACAAACCAAGGTTGAACCTACCAATGAAAAGTAAGCGTTAAAGAAAAATTTTTATTCATAATTTTTAAAATCGATCATTCACATTTTTTTTTTTTTAATAATAATGATAATAAAAAAACTTTAGGAATAATGTACATGGAGGAATAAGCATGAGTGAACAATTTGATGTGGAGATGGGGGATTCATTTTCGGATGATGACGGTTGTGAACGTGATTTACCTACTAGCACCTCCGTAGACCATTTAGAAGATCATAAGTTTGAAGAAATGTTTGTAGATGATGCGCATCTAGTAAATTCCCCATCAGATACTAGTACAAGTAATACGGATGATAATCATTCTTCATATACGTCATCCCCTTCGCCCGTTCTCACTTCAAAGACTTCGGCTATTCCTATTCCCGTAGTCTCTTCGTCAGCAGCTCATACGACTCCAATTACCCCTTCAAATGAACTTGAATTCAATTTTAGTGGTACTAATGCTACAGAAGACTTCTGTTTCTCCCATCCTTCCTTCTCGTTAAATAGGAAGAATTATGTAAACTTTCCTGGGAAAACTTCAAACCTTCAAATGCGTCCGATAGCAATTCCCGTGTCTAGAGGGGTTTCCAACATGAATAATTCGGTTGGAAATTATCCCTTCAAGAAGGTTAAAGCAAATCCTTAATTCTATTTACCATGAATACCGTTATTGAATTAATCTTATTAACAACTTCCTTTTCTTTCTTTTAAAAAATTTTATGCCGGGATCGATGAATGTAGACACAAAGACAGAGATCCGCCAGTTTGATTCTTCCAGTATCTAGTATAACAATACCTAATGATACTGCCGATGACTCTGACATAGAATTACCAGATTCGATGTCGTCGTCTTTGACCAGCGCGTCGACTAGTACGCAATATACGTATACGCCTTATAATCCTCCGTATGATCACCATTCGATGGATTATGCTGGGGCTTCGTCAGCTCTCTTGAGCTCATCGGCTCCTCATTCTTATCCTTATTTCGGCGAATTGACCAATCCTGCTGATATGAATAATTCCGCGCAAATACCATATCAGTCATCCGCTCGTCCGGTAGATAGTGGAGGGTTTTATTTCGGTGACTGTGATCTTGGTACGAATGGAGATTCTACAGCGGCATCAGTTTTCGATATGGTCAACATTTATTACGTAAACGGTCCTAATAATCAGTTAAACTTGTCCTCGCTATCTCACGTTAATCCATCTCAATTGTTCAGCACATCCCCTTCATCTATTTCATATGATTTACCGTCCAATGATCATATTTGTTCCTCAGAAGAATCTGATGGTAAAGATAAAGCTTCAAGTTCAATGGGATATGATCAATCAAATTTAAGGGAATGGGGTAGAGGTGGTGAAAGGAATTATGGTGGTAACAACAATATAAATAGTACCTCCAAGATAAAAAGAAATTCATCATCTAGCGTTGATACAAATAATAAGAACATTTCATCGTCACTGCAAAGTGGTGAGGGGGAATCATCCAACGGGTTGACGTCACCGGGAAAAAGACCGAGGTCATCTTCCCGTGCTTCTTTGACAGCACCGTTAAAATCCGTTCAAAATAACAATAACTCTTCATCATCAGCACCCCCATCTCCCACAATACCTAAAGATCCAAATAACAACAATGGTGGTAATTCGTCAAAGAACGCGGTACCGACCACTTGCACGAATTGTCATACACAGACGACGCCGTTATGGCGTCGCAATCCCGAAGGTCAACCCCTATGTAATGCATGTGGTTTGTTCTTGAAATTGCATGGCGTTGTTAGACCTTTGAGTTTAAAGACCGACGTTATAAAGAAACGTAATCGAGGTGGCACGGCAGCGGCTGGAAAAAATCCCGGTAAAAATGGTGTAAAAGGTAATAGTGTACAATTAGGTCCTGGTGGTGCTAGCATGAGTGTAATGGGTAAAAGAACATCATTTACGGGTAATATGAACTCTCGATCAGGCGTCATAAATACACCTGCTTCGGCATCTGTATTATCCACGTCAGCCCCTACCGCACAATATTCAAATAACGCATTTAGTCCCGGACCAAATATTCAGAGCGTACCGAAAAGGCAGAGACGGTTCTCATCAAGTGATGACAGACAATTATTGAATGATCAACAAATACGGCATTCACAACAACAGTCACAAATGAGTACATCCCTTTCCGGTTCGAGTGTTCGAGCTCAAATGATGATGGCGACGACAATGCAGCAACAGCAAAAGCAGCAAGAAGAAATTGGTAATTCTACCGCATCTTCAAGTAATTCTCAACAACCACCACGTCAATTTCAAACATCATCGAATTCTGCATCTAAAAACACCATACCTAAAGTGCATAGACGATCATTACATCGATCTCACACATCAGCACCGATACTGCAAACGACTTCAAACAATAATAACAATTCACCATCACCCACATCCAACAACAATTTGTCGTCACCTTCAACGAGGCCAACTTCTCAAAGACAATACCCTTTATCGCCATCATTATTCATGCATTTTGCATGGCCTGACCAACAAATAGTCCAATCCACGTTAGTTTCATCTGATGATGAAAGCTTGGCAAACGGTTATGCTACACGCCCTAATGTGTTGATCCACCAACAATCGTTTAGTGATGATGAATCTGTGAGTTCGGGAGTAAATAGAGATACTGCTATGGAATTAGGTTTTAATTAAAACTAAAGCCTATTTGCCCATTGCGCGATAAAAGGGATGGAAATTTTTTTTGATGATGGTGACTATTGAATCAAATAAATATTCTTCGCATTAAAAAAAAAGCCAAGAGACTTTTTCCGAACCTTTTTTTTTTTAGATTTAATTCGATGCTTTTCCATAGCAATCGATCTTTAATTTATGTTTTACAATTTTTAAATGTATTTATTTTCTTTATCGTCGTGGTTGATTTTACAATTTTTGGGCTTTATTATTTAAGCAATAATAATTTGGCTTGTCTTTTTTTTTTTAAAAAAAAAAAATTTACATATATGCTAAAATTTGTTTGGTGTTATATTATATTATTGTATGATATTTATTATATATATTTTTTTTTTTTTTTTTTTTTTTTTTTTTTTACATTTTCATTGACTGAATAATTAATTATACATCCTTTATCCACCTCATTCCTCCAAAAACCTTCATTTTTTTTTCAATTTTTTTCCCCTTTTTTTTTTTTTTTTTTTTTTTTTTTTTTTTTTTTTTAAAAAAAAAAAAAAATTGTGAATATAAAAAATTTTTTTTTTCATTCTATTTTTAAAAAAAAATTTCGTTCGATGAATTATTTAATTTACTTAAAATATTTATTATTTATTATATTTTTTTTTTCTTTTTTTTCCCCCTTAAAAAAAAAGTTTTTTGTACATTACACTTTCTTTACTTTTTTTTAACATATGCTTTTTTTCCCTCGATACATTTACAAATACATTTACGAAAAAATATATATATATACATATTTATGGTTTTAATACTTTTTTTTTTTTTTTACATAAGTTTTTTTTGAAAATATATTTTTTGAGGTTAATAAATCTTTATACGTCACGTGATTGAGCTGCGATAACTTTTCACGTGGTTCATCATATCATATCATAAATTACTTTATAGTCAAATAGATCAAAAATAATTCTACAAACAAATCATTTTTAATACAATAAATTGTCAAAATTCTCTCCATATATATCGTTTCAAATAATTTGATACATGATGACGCGATGATTAATTACAAATTCATAAAACTAGGAAATGTTTGCCAAATAGTCTCTAACTTCTGAAGGATTTAACTTTCTAAATAAAGGTTGTTCCTTTCCTTCCGTGAATCCTGTTGCGCCACCACCAATGATACCAATCTCGATTGAATGCTCAGTCATCTGCCCTTCAAACCCTTCTTTTAAGGTAAGAATGGAAGTATGAACAGCGTCTTCAAGTTCAATGTCGTCGTTATATCTAATAGGGAATTCATTGATTTAGTAATTTAATTCAATCTTCGTGAAATATTATTATAGAGATCGTACCGCTTTTCCAGAAAAGTTTTAGCGTTAACCATATTCTTCCCGATTGCGGATGCTTTCCATGCCCAATATGATCCTGACGGATCAACTTGATACAATACTGGTCCAGTTTCATCATAACCCGCAATCAAAAGGGAAACACCAAATGGACGAACACCTCTAAAATCGTTAATCAAGTAAATATAAAATACACACACATATGTACATATCCGAGAAATTACCGAGAAAATATTCGTTAAATATTAACTTACCCACTCTGTGTGAATTCTTGCATGACACTGGCAACATCTTTAACCAATATCCCTGTTGTTGGATATTCATTGTAAATTCCCTTATATTTTTGTGCGGCCTTTCTTGCCTTAGCTAACAAGACCCTAAAATCAGGCCCCATTCCAGAGTAAACTATTCCGATATTTGGACAAACATTTGCGACTTTTTCGAGAGACGTGTCATCAATAAGCGGAGATGCAGTTTTCTTCTCGGTCGCAATGACAATACCGTTTGTTGCTATTAATGTGAATATCATTAATATCGAACAAGACAAATCTAAAAAAAGAAAAAAAATCCTTGAGACTGCCTATTTATTACCTTTGATACCAATACTTGTTACTCCTTGAGCGACTGCATTCAAGGCGTATTCAATTTGAACAAGTTTTCCTGAAGGTGAAAAGGTCGTTAAAGAGAAACTAACCGGGACAAAGCAAGATTAATTATTAAATCCCCGAGTAATGCAAATTGTAAATTGAATATCTAAAAAGCTTATCACCTATAACGGTCAGACATTTTTAAGTGAGGTTGAATTGCAAAAAAAGTGATTCGTAACAAAAAAAATTTGAGTTGGTATTTGGATGATGAAATCGATCGCAAGGGTATTACATAAACCCTTGCTAAAAAAAAAAATGTTGTGTCGCAAGATTTTATTGGACGATTGCATCATTGCAATTTTTTTTTTTTTTTTAATACTTTTTTGATACGGCCCAATCGTTGTTTCAACCTCTCTGAAATTTTTAACCTGGTTTTTTATAAAATATGTCGTACGTAAATACTGTCTTTACGGAAGGTCCTTTGGAGGCTCAGGTGCGTTGAGCGAATAATTCCTAACTTTTGGGATAAAGATAACGCATTACTAGAGACAATAAGTTTATTTACAAAAAAAGACGTGTATGTTTTATCTCTTAGGCCTTGGAGTTTGCTTCCTACGTCTCAAAGTTAAAAGCTGAACCGGAAGAAAAAGGACCTTTTATCACAGAAACAGAAAATCTGTTAAAAGAAAAGAATTTCGAACAAGTCTTACAGTCGTTTGCTTCGTCTACATCAATATTGCTTGAGGCACCTGAAAAAGGTATTTTATGAGCACCGAACCCTGCCAATTTTGGAGGATTTATCTTTTATTATTTTATTACGTAATCCATAAAAATCCTTCAGTTTTACAACTTACATACGAATACCAAATATAGAATTTGAAGCTATATATAATCTTCTCATTGCCATTTTAAAGTCCGCATCACCCGAGACACATCCAATATTAATAAAATCATCCATCAAGGCTCTTGCGGACGTTCAAAACGATAAGGCTATTCCAAAACTTAAAGTGTGAGTCATGAAATCAATTTTATATTTATATGAATGTTATAATAAGCGTTACTAAGTTTTTTTTTTTAAGTCTTCAGAATCTATATAATACTCTGGAATATACCTCCACACTTAGATATGATGTATTCCTTGCAATTCTTGACATTGCAACCAAAAATGATGAAATTGATACTTTATTACCACAATTACATCGCCTGGACACATGGGTAAAGGAATGGGCAATTTCTACAGATCAAGTACGGGAATTATATTTGACAGTCTCTGATAGATTGAAAGAAGCTGGCGAACTGTACGTTCTACTTTTAAATTTATTAATGATCTTATCGATTTTATATATTTTTATATCTCTCCTTTTTTTAAAAAAAAATAATTTAATAATAATACATAGCAAACGGTCTCATGACTTTTTGTTAAAACATCTCGCCGCCTATTCTGCTTCCGATGATCTTTCTGCGGCTGAATCTGCAGCAATTCGTGCAGTCGTTGAAGCTATTCAATTACCCGAAATTTTGAGCTTTGAAGATTTACTTGAGTTACATGCTATACGATGCTTGAAAAGTGAGGAAAAGCTTTTTGATCTATTAAAAGTCTTCCTGAGCGGGAACTTAAAAGAGTATAAAGATTACGTTGCTGGAAATCCAGGTGCCGTGGAAAAATTTGGTAAGTATAATAGATATTGGAATGATCAACTATTTACGCGATAATAATATTATTATAAGTCAAATGATCTCTAACATATGATTAGGACTTTCTAATGAGGATAATATACGTAAAATTAGATTATTAACGTTGGCTTCTTTGGCGTCTGAGAACGTTTCTCGAGAGATCTCTTATGAAACAATAGCAAAAGCATTAGAAATTCAAGAATCCGAAGTTGAAATGTGGACAATAGATGGTAACTTATTAATAATGTTGTGTTAAAATTATATGACGGTATTCACATTTCTTGTTTGCTTTACAGTAATTCGAGCTAATTTAATTGAAGCAAAAATCAATCAAGTTAAGAAGAAAATCCTAGTAAACAGATCCACATATCGAACATTCACAACTGATCAATGGCAACAGTTATCTTCTAAACTTGATAGTTGGAAACAATCTCTCACGGATATTTTGCAGGTCATTGCTAATGCGAAATTAATTGCTCAACCCTCTAATTTAAATACAAATAATGCTGCTAACTCAGCAGTTGTGGTTGTTGATGGTGGTGTAAATGTTCAAGAAGAGGTCCCTGGAAGCTAATTTTAGCTATGTTAAAAAGGGGGATCTTAATGGTAAGATAATTGATAATTGTATCTTGGTAATTTTATAATGAAACTTTTCAAAAAAAATATTTAATAGATTTATTAAAAATTTTCGTGGGATATATATAGAACAAAAAATTCTCATCAGATTTTATGTAATGATAAAGTTTATTTTAATATTATAAACTGCATTAAAATGTTACAAGCATAATAACTTTGTATAAATTATATAATTCTCATTTTATTTAGTTTTAATAACAAATATTTATAAAATATCCTTTTGTATTGTATTATATTTAAATTTTTATACCAATCTTTTTTTTTAAAATGAGGTTTAATTTATTAAGTTTGTATTTATAATACAAATTAAATATACTTACAAAAAGGTTTTTATTATATTATAATAAAATAAAGATATCTTTTTTTTATTAATTTAATTATTACTGGTTTTAATATATAAAAAGATTTTTTTGTATGATATAATTATAGATGATATAATTATAGATAGTATAATTATAACAAAATTTAACTATATTAATAAAAATCAAATTTTTATTAAAAATTTTTATTTTTTAGTTTAAATCATATAAATAAATAGTTAGTTTCTTATAAAAATAAATAACAAATTAAATCATTAAATTTTAAAAGATAATTAACTGATTTAATAATATATATATATATTATTTTTAATATTATAATCAGTTTTTTAAAATATTAAAGTTATAAATAAATAGATATAAATAATAAGTAAAAGATTAATGAATATTATAGTAAATAAAATATAAAATTAAATCATTTATTATTTTGATTAAAAAAAAAATGATTATCATCTTATATTAGT